AGTCTACACATGGTAGGTGTGCAAGCACTGTATGGGCAAGCGCTGTTTGGGCATAACCGATGTGCAAACACTGTTTGGGCAGAACCAAAGTGCAAGCACTGTTTGGACAGCCGCTGTTTGGGCATAACCAACGTGCAAGCGCTGTTTGGGCATAGTCACCGTGCAAGCACTGTTTGGGCATACCGTTCAGCCTGGGTCGCTGGCTGTGTCAGCTGTTTGGGCATAGCCACCGTGCAAGCACTGTTTGGGCAGAACGTGCAAGCACTGTTTGGACATACCGCTTGCACGTTGGGCATATCCAACGTGCAAGCGCCAACAACCGATTGCTGGCGCCCGAGCCGTTTCCATGAGAAACGTCAGCGTCGGGCACTGGGGGGGTCAAGAGCTTTGCTGGCGCAGCTTTCTGGAAGGATGGCTTCGCCTCATAGGCGCGCAGGTCCACGGTGCCTTCCCGAGCTTGTTCGGCAGTTCGTTATCATATCCTCTGCCCTCCGATTATCCTCCTCTCCGTCCGTTGCCATTTGTGGCTCAAACTCGTTGCGATCGTATGTCTGGCTTTCTTCAGCCTGGCCTCGTCACCAGCGCGTGGTCTGGATGAACGTCGGGCTCGCGCCCGATGGTGGCCCCTCGTTGACATGGCGGAGGGCTGCTGCTGGGACCAGTGGGCCGTCGAGTCAGCTGTCGGGGACAGCGACTCCGACGGCGCCCGCTGGGGCGAGTGGGCGGGCGCCTCGTCCGACGACGGGTTCGTGCCCCGTGGCGGCCCTGGCGCGGCCTTGCCAGGAGGTGCCGCCGCCCCTGGCGGTCCCAGCGTGGCTGATGGCGCGGTCGTACCAGCGGCACCTGGAGCGCCATCGGATGCGGCTGCAGCCGCTGCGCCGTGCGGCGCATGTGACGGCGTCGCGGTGGTCGGCCCGCCTGTGGCGACGGAGACGGCTCGCCAGCTTCGGCGTCACTGGGCCGAGCGCAGCTCAGCGGCGAGGGACATCCTGAGCGGCGCCCCAGCTGCGGGCGTAGCACTTCCTGGTGGCGAGGCCCCCGTGGGGCCACAATGACAAGGACACAAACCTTCGGAGGGGGGGCTCGTGAGGCGAAACGGATGGGCTGGGCGAGGGGGGATATCGGAGGGAGGTGGCGACGGTGACGACGGAGGGAGACTGAACTGCGGAGGGGGGCGAGAAGGAGGAGAATGATGATGGGGTGGTCAGACGTGGGCGGCACTGGAGGACAACTGAGGAAGAGCAGAACGATGATGAGGGTGGGGACGGGAAGGCGGCATGGAGGATGCATGGGGGGGAGGCGGGGAGACATGCTCTGAAGGACGAGGGGGGACGGGGGGAGGGATGCGGAGGAGTGATGATGGAGGGAAACGGTGGGGGCAAGGAGGAATGGCGATGACGCACGAGGCGTGATGCGGCGGCGGGGGGAGGATGACGAACGAAGGGAAGGGAGATTGGTTGGGGGGCGGGCGGGCCCACGATCCCTTCTGAAGGTTTGTGCCCCGCAAAGAAGGCAGCAGCTGCAGAGCCTGGGGGCGGCGCCCTTGCGGTGGCGATCCCTGGGGGCCCAGAGGGCCTCGAGATGCCATCGCCGTCGGAGGCGAGGCACCGACGAGCAGAACTCGCCCTGGCCACTGTCTGCACGGCATTCCAGCGATGCCGCGCGACCGTGGCCATCAACCCCGACGCCAAGAAGGTCGTGGCAGACGCGGTCGGGCGCGATGGGGCGTGGCTGACTGCGAAGACGTTGTCAGAGCATGCGCGTCGAATTGGTGTTCCAGACGGGACCCTTGCATGCAAAGCCGAGCTCACTGCAGCCGCGGCGTGGATCGCGTACGTATACAGCATGAGAGATCAGATCCGCAAGATCGCGGACGATACCATTCGAGCCGATGGAATATTGCACACACTGTACACGTTCATTCGCTTCGATGAGACACCCTTGAGGCTCACAGTTGTTGACAAGAATGTGTTTTTCGGCCTCCCACAAGATGTGATCGATGAGGTTGCGGGTTTCTTCTCCGAGAGGCACGAGGCTCGCGACGCTGGAGTCGCGAAGCTTCTTCAAATCGAGGTAGAGGTGTGCATGCTAGTTGAATATATGCCGCTTCGCGGATTACCGCCCGCTCATCCAGAGACGATGCCCAGGCTAATTGCTTCGACCAAGCTGTGTAATTGTTGGCCAGGGGGCAAACCGTTCGGCCCCTCTAGGCGCCCCCTCTAGGTGAATTGGGGCGGTCCAAGCGGGAGGGCAAGGGGTGGTGTTATGACGAGTTATGGGGAAATCGTAACGAACTTTCTCCGCCTCTTTGCGCCCCAAGGGGTCGGTCGTAGTGCAAGGGAAGTTCTTCTGTTTTACCTGGAGGCCCCCTATCCCAATATTGAGCACGGGGCGAACAACTGCTGAGGTGTACGTTCAATGCGACAAGAAGGTGTCGCAGATCTTGGGTTTGGGCGAGGTCGCCTCGATGTTTCGACGAATGCATGTTTGGTTTTGCACGGATGGTGACAAGGCGATCGGTAAGGCTGCCAGAGTTGTTCGGCGCCAGGAAACCTCTGCGAAGCACTTCAGTTTTTCACACACAATATGTGACGTGCATCGGCAATGCAATAATCGTCAAGCGAGTTTTGGCCAGCATAGTTCCGCAATCACTCGTCTCAGACAAGCTCTGCTGTCCATCACATTTGGGAATCACTTGAAATTGTTCCGCACAGCCATCAAGAACGTAATGATCAGGATGCCTGTTGCAAGAGACTGTATTCCCAGTTATGCGAGCAGGGAGGCTATGATCAGGAGTTTGGATTATCTCATCCCGAATGTACCCGATAACGCAGAGAGGAGAGCTAGAATAGTTGGGTCGTTTGTGTGGTCCCCAAACAGTCCGGCCAAGTTTGTTGCAGCAGATGGTGAGAGCGATGCCAGTATCAACGCCAGAAAAATCAAGATTGTCAAATATAATGGGCGCTTCGCGTCTCCCCCAGCACCACCCCTTTCAGAGACCAGCTTCAGCGAGTTGCCCTGATCGGGAAATCCAGCAGCATGCGATGCATCTGCATGCAGGCAGCGTGACAAATAGGGCCTCGAGTGGACTCCAATGGGCGGCCGCATCTTGCCCCATGGGGGTTTCAAGATGTCCCCGCCAAGAGGACCCCAAGAACGCCTCGCAAAGGGGTTCGAGCGAGGCCCAAACAAGCCCAACGAGAAACTGTATCCAGACACCCCAAGATCCAAGAAACACAACTGAGAAAATCTTGGCGCTTCGCGTGTCCCCGCCAACCCACGGAAAAAATGCGCTTAGACGGGTTGCCTTGATCAGGCAAGCGTGGCATAAGGCAGCGTGGCTGCGTGCAACGTAGCAAGGAGGGCCCACGATGGGCTCGGTGTTGCCGCGTGATGGCCCTGGACGGGGCCCTCAGAGGGTTCCAAGAGACACCAAGAGGGCCCCAAGAGTGCCGTAAGAGCGGCCCCATGATCATGGGACCTTCTTGGGGCCCGCTTGGGCTGCTTTGTCGGACCTTCTGGGGCCTTCGCGGGCCCCAGGGGGGGAAATATGGAGGTGAGGTTTATGAGGAGTTGGAGTACGTGCTTCCTGAACAACAGCGCGCCCTGCAGGGCTGGCTGGATTTATTCGGTAAGGGTCCTGGTTCTTTTCCGAGCAATAAGTGGGTCAAGTGTGAGGATGGCATGCGTTGGGTCGCTCTTCTTGCAATGCTCGGGATTTGGGGGTCAGCTTACGACGTGTTCTCACATCTGGCAGGCAGCCTCGATCAGGATGGCCTTGTGGGAGCAGGTCTTGACGGCCATGCTGCCGCTGCAGCTGACGCCCCAGCCATCGAGGACGCTGCGGCAGCACCAGTGCTGGACGACGACGTCATGGGGGACGCGGGCGGCCCTGCCCCTGACGGCGAGGCCGCAGCTGTTGGCCCACAGGGCGGCCAGGGAGCAGACGCTGCAGCTCGCGACCAGCACCGCTGGAGGCGGGCGACTCTGGAGTGGAACAGGAGTGGGACAGTTTTTGGTGACGCGTTTGCTATGTCTGTGGCTATGGAGCCGCGCGTCCAGATTATGAGAAGGAAGTTGCACATCGGTGGCGACGGCTGGGAGAAAGACCAATGCAAAAAAGTGCACGATGCTAGGAGAGCTCATCGAGAGGCGAGTGGCGGACATCCTACTACAGCTGAGGTTCCAGGTCTAGCTCAACTTCGTGATTTTCGCTTGCCCCTCGCCTGGGCTGGCACGCTGGAGTCAGAGTTTGCGAGTTCAAACAATAAGATCATGGACGATGCCTTCGCATGGGAACCGCTGCCAGCTGTGTGCAGGACGGTCGCACGCCAGACACAAACTTTTCTTCTCTTGGCTCGGGCTGGGGCCCTCAATCATGTTCAGAAGGTGTTCAACAGCAACTACCCGTGCAAGCTTATTGCTACATGTGTTCACGGCCACCTCATCGACGAAATTGATGCCGATGCCGTCTGCCAGAAACGGCTCGACGCTGGGCCCCGCTCATGTTACGACTATTACGAAGGCAACCTCGACTCCACCGCTGCCAGGATGGATATCCTCGTCCTTGCCATGAAAGCTCGGCTGGAAACCATCCTCATTGAGTACAGGCATCAGCGAGTACGTCGCTTCATCAATGGCAGGAGCGTGCAACAAAGAGCAGTGGACACGAAGGGGGTGAACATTTTTTGGTTAATGGATTGGCTCGAGAAGGAAGCGAGGGGCATGTGGGGAGTACGGCAGCCCCACCGTCAGCAACCACAGCAAGCGGCTCCAGCCGACGAGGACAATGCTTCTCAGCCGAAGCGGCGGCGGACATCTGTATATCATGCGTTCCTTGCTCAGGCTGGCTGCACAACGAACTGGGGCCGAGGTAAACGCAATCGCCAATGCCTTTTGCCTTCGTCCAAACCCTCCTATGGGTTTGGCGGTTGACGGGGGCAAAAGTGGTGCAGGCGATTGTGTTTGGTTCGGGTTTGGTTGGGTTGCGCTGCCACCAGGAACGATCTGGTGTGACGGGTGGCGACGGCAAGTACAAGCCTGGTATCAAGGACAGGTATTGGAACTTGACCGATGCGGAGGTCGAGCGGCTCATGCAGCTGTGTGACGATGCCGATGTCGCCAAGGCTGCTGGGAACCCAACGCCATATGGTGGTCGGGCCGTCCGACACGACGCGCTGGCCGTTGTGCCGTCTGGCTTACCGCACCTGGCACGTGCACAGCTTGTTCGTCTGGAGAACACGGATATCTTGCAGCGGGCGGAGCAATTTCGGATCCTCGCAAGGCACCGTCACAAGCTTGAGCGTGAGAAGGCGGCGGAGGAGTACGACCGATGTGCTCAGGACGACTTGTCTCAGGGCGGAGTTGTCGCAACGGCCTCGTCAAAGTTTGTTGCACTTCGTGGCGCGCCGCAGAGCCAGGGAGACTCCCCCTGGAACGGGGTTGGCGGGGGTGACATTGCTTTCCTTTCGCAGCGGTGGTCAGAGTTGAAGGGGCTCGCCGAGTCCATCGCAAGCATCGACGTCAGAAAGTACAAGCAGAGCGGGATCAGCGAGCTCCATAAGGCCTTGGTCGGCGTCTTCCGCGAGCACTGCGAGACCATGCAGCAGCCATCATCTAAGCTCGATGGTCCAGGATCTGCCCCTCCCAAGCCTTCGGACTACATCTGCCACTCAGCGAATCGCTGTGTGTGCTCCCCAGCTGGCCGCGCGAGCATCTCCATGATGAGCGCTATCAACGCTCACGCCAGACGGCTGTATCCCAGGGGCGACCTGCGGAAGAAGTTCGTCGCGAGCCATGTTGTTCTTGTGCTGTTGGGGCAGAGCTGTTTGCCGACTGACGCTGCGGGGGCGGTCAAGTTCGACCTCGGCGAGCCTGCGAGCGAAGTTCGTTTCTTCCTCGTGGCCGTTACCCTGGAGAAGCCGTGGGAGATTACGTTTTTAAAGTTGGACCCCGAAGATGAGGTCCGTGATCGGTTTCGACAGCGTGCATGGGACGGAGAAGCCAACACGTGGACGTGCCACCGACCCGATGGCCTAGTGAAGCTCGTCGACACCGACCACCAATATTACACGCAATACGAGCTGGCCGCGACGATGAGTACGGCACTTCGCTGGGACTGCGCCTGGCTCGAGGTCTATTTTGGTGCTGGAATGGTGGGCGCTTTCATTCCGAACAAGTGCTATGTGGAGCAGACGTCTGCTTGCCTGCGCCCGCTATGGAACCCAGAGCGCACGAGGAAGTCCAAGGATGGAGGTTTCGCTTCTTGGGCGGCCCTGGCTGTCGACGACGATGACCATCCCGACGACATCGGAGGAGACGTCGGCGTCGATGGCCCCCCAGAGTCGGACGAGCCCGAGCCTGAGGACGACGGGCAGGAGTCGGAGAGTGAACCAGAAGATAGCGACGGAGCTGACGGAGGCGCATCGTCAGATGGCAGCGGCAGTAGTGACGATGCAGTCCTGCCGCCAGTCCTTCCAGTTCCTCCTCCTGCGCCGCCTCCGCCACCACCGCCACCGCCACCAGCTCCGCCGCCTGTCGGCGGCGGAGGCGGCGGGGGTTTGCCAGCTCAGATCGTTGTTTTTGTGCCTGGCCTTGGGCGGATCAGCTATTATGATACGCCCGATCGCAAGTATTTCGTGGCCACCTGCACGGACGCTGATCATGTCCACCACTTGCCGTGCCATAGCACTCGCGTGTCAACGCCAGGGCCCAAGAAGGGCCAGGGCCGCCCGCTAGGGTGGATGATGGCGTGGCTGGAGCGGCAGAGCGGCCCCGCGGCGACAAGGGCCGCGACGCGCCACGACCACGTGCACGGCAAGTGGAAGCCCACGCTAGACGAGCGCCGTGCGGCCAGAGCACGGCTTTCGTTGTTGCCTGATGGGCTCGCTCTGATTGCAGGGGAGCACACGCCTGCAGGCGAGGGCCCTGGATCAGAGCCGCTCGAATTCGTATAGCAACACGTTCTTTACGACTCGACTTCTTGTTCTATACATTGGCTCGCGCCTCACCCCTTCCGACTCGGTCACAACTTGCTGATGTCATATTCTTGACGCTTCGCGTATGGCCGATCCCCGCCAGCCCATCCAGATGCGATGTTGTGGCTGGTCTTGGTCGTGGGCTGTCTTGGCTTGGGCTGTCTTGGGCCTTTGGGCTCCGCCTCCCCCTTCTCTTCTTATCTGTGTCTGGGCGGGGGTAGGGCCCGCCTGGGCCGAGCGCTCCTGGCCAGGGGCAGTCTTCGAAGCCAGGATCTATATTCGTGGCGTCAAGGTGTCGCCGACCCCTCCCCCTCCCCCTCGCCTCATCCCCAACTCCTTCTGCTAACTGTGCGGCCCATCCGACGGACCCTGTGTGCCGCGATCCGTGCGAAGGGCACGCCGAAATGGGAGTTGCGTTCTCTGCCAGAGTTCGCGAGCTACGACCCGTGGGAAGGCCGCGCTGAAACAGGATCGGCCACCTCCGCGGGAAACGTCGGACCTTCTCGGTCCAGAAGAGGGTGGGGGTACCGCCGTTCTCCAACTATCCCTCATTTCATTTCGGTGTGCCCCCCGCCCTCATACATCCATCATGTCATTGATCCTCCCTCCACCGTAGCAATGCCATCCGATATCCTGCCCCCCTCATCAGTTTATATTTTTTTCGTTTGGCTTCTCATTGACCCGTCCAGGCAACGCCATCCGACCTGCTGGTCCCAAGCCAGCCGAACTCGGTACCGAAACCAAGCCACCAGAAACCATCCAAATATTGATTGGGGTACCCTGCCAAATCCAAACCCGAATGCAACCCAACAGTAGCAAACGCAAACTGATTGAAATGTATTGCTTGATTCAGCCCCGACGCACATCCAGCCGAGACCAACACGCAGAATCAGCGTAGCGGGGCCGAGCGGTCTTGCAATATGTCTGAGTGCGCTGCTGAAGCGGGGTTCCGCGATGAGGGGTGTGTCTGTTTGTTACTGTCGGCGTCGTCCCTACGGGTGTGTCGCGGCGCGGGTGAGTCGTGGCGCGGGCGCGTCGCGGCGCGGGCGGGCCGTGGCACGGGCGGGTTGCAGCGCCGATGGGTCACGACTGTGTCACGTGCGGGTCGTGGGCGCAAGAGAGCCCCAAGGCACGTCGCCAGAAAACGTTGGCGCGACCGCTGTTGAGGCGGCCTGTCCCCCCCCCTCCATAGGGGGGGGCATCTCGGATCCGTATGTGGGGCCCTCTGGGGCCACGTACAAGGGCCCACATCGGGCTTAACATCGCCCCAGGAAGACACAGATGCCGCTCCAACGCACATGGGCCAATACGAGCCCCACGAGCAGTCGCGCGAACATTCGATCATGATCGAAAGTTGTGCCATCGTCTGGCAATCTTGGGGTATGATTGGGGCAACGTGCGGGGCTGGGCGCCTTGTGCCCTGGTGGGGGCCCCAGAGTGGCCCAAGATGGGCCCAAGCTGGCCCCAAGATGGGGTCTGATGATGCCCCGCGGGCGGTCGTGCGAGCGCTCTCTCGCGTGGCTGACGTGGGGGCCCTCTTGGGGTCATTGTTGGGGCTCTATTGAGGCCTTCATCGGGCCCACCGCAAACGCAGGCCACGGCCTTCATGGGAACCCAAGAGGGCGCCGATACGTATCCAAGATGGTACAACAACGGCACCACCACGATGCCAAGAGAAACAACGCGAAGACGCGTTCGCGTGACCGCTTTTGGGTGGTTCCCAAGCCCTTCTTGCGACCATATCGGAGCCGTGTTCGGGCCCTCTTGGGCCCCCTTAGGCGGGTGGCCGGCCGTGCCGATGGGTCGCATCCAAGCCGCGAGGCGGACGCGTCGCGGGTGGGTCGCAAGCGTCGTGCCGTCCGTCCGTGCCGTCGCTACGCGCTGCATGTGCGGTGTGGTCACGTTACCAGAAGAGCTCGGCCGAACTCATAAACCCAAGCTGCCCCAACTGACGCCGCAGCGCAACCCCCCCCCCCCCCCACCACCACACCTGCCTCGCACCCCGCCAGCCGCGAGCCTTCTTCTGTTCACAGCCGATGGCAACGCGTGCAAGCTCTGCAACCGTCGTGCACATGCGCTCCCGCCCCCAGCACAACCTGCCCCAGCTTCCCCAAGCCTTCCGGCCCAGCAAACCCCAACTTCTGCAAGCCCGTGGGCCTCAGGGTGCACCAACTCCTGACATCAGCCCCATACCAAACCTACCCAATCCACTGCGAGCACACCCAGATCAACATGCATCCACTCCTACCAGCTCCCAAACACTAAATATACTCAACCCCGCCTCCCCGACCCAGCCAGCATTTCCCGCACGCCGTCCAGAAGGCAGCCTCGTTTTCTGCAAATGTGCTGAACGCAAGACTCGTTACTTACACCATGCAACTCAATACCACACCTACAGAATTGCCCGCACGCCTCCCAACCGCAACCTGTACCAACTTCTGCCAGATCTTACACCGGCCGCTTCAACGTCTGATCAAACGCAATCTACTTCAACTATTGCGAGCCTCGGGCCCCGACCCCCCCTCACGCCCCCCCCCCCCGCCAACTTCTGCAAGCTCGTGCGACTTGAACCAGGCTGTCTCGCCCCCCCTCAAGCCCCGCCAGCTGGCCCCAGCCACGCCCAGGTCATGCGCCGCAAACCTTGCGAGCACAACTCGTACGAACGCCTGCTAGCACCCCCGCCACCACCAATCCAGACCACGGCGCTGCCTCCCCAACCCGAACTTCCCCCCCCCCCCCACCCACCACGCACACACACACACACACACACACACACACACACACACACGCACACACACACACACACACACACACACGAGTGCAAAGCCCAGGCTGCGGCAACACCCGTGCCACCTTGAAGCCCAACAGGCCTCGACCACCGCCAGCAACGCACCGCCCCCACCCCCCCCCTCCCCACACACACACACACGCACACACAACCTCTTTTCCAATCCCGACCTGCCCCAACTTCTGCAAGCCCATTCAGCAAATCCGCCCCGACGGCCAGACCCTGACGCAAACCCGCCGCCATTCCCGCAGCTCTTCCAGACCCAGCTTATACTCTCTGAAAACACTTGGGCGCCAGCGTATTGCAACGCCCGCGAACAACGCCTAACTGACAACGCCTACAACATATCTAGTGAATCGTCGATGCGCAACCAACGACACGCAGCTGCGGCATGCCCGCCAGGTCGACGCGCACCAGGTTCCAACCCCACCGACATATGCTGCATCACACGCTGCACGCTTTCGGCGCCGCCCCGCCCCCAAGCCATGCACATTTGCTGGGCGCCGAGCTGCGCGACATGCCGCCATGGGCCCCGCGACCTGCCCATGCCAACCACCGCATGCTTCCCAAACCACCGACTTCAATTCATGCCAGCAATTCAAACCCACCCTACGCCAAGTACGCGTTCCCGAACCTGACCAGCCCCAGCACAGGAACGCCGTCAAACCCAAACAGCCTCACCTTTGCAAATCCAAGGGGCCCAAGTACCGCAAGCCCAGCTAACGCACCCAAACCCAACCTACCTTTTCCACCGCGTGGGGCCTTCCAAGCCCAACCTTCATCAGTTGGGCTGCCGCCGATCCACAGCAGTTCCACCTCGACCGCCGCACGCGCGCCCCAGCCCACTTTGACGACCCCCCCCCCGCCCGACTGCGCACCACGCCCAGCAGTCATCGGCATCTGCAGGCCCTGGGCGCCCAACATGTAGAAACCGTGACCAGTAGCGCGAGAGCCGACCTACATCATCCACCGCAGGCCTTCCAACTCCAACCAGCCCCCCCCCCCCCCCTCCCACCAATTCTTCAAACGCGACCCACCCCAAACCCCGCGCCCCCAACCCAACCGACATCACCTCCCGCAGACATTCCGACATCCCCGCGCGCTTTTGAAACCAGAACGGCCCCGAATCCCGTCGCCACAGCCCCGAACTCGCCGACCTTGTCTCCAGCAAAACTCTCGTACCAACCTGCCCCAATTGCTGCAAGCCCACCAGCCCCCCATTCGCTTCAACTTCCGCCTGACCAGCATCACGTGCCTAAAACGCAGCATTCCATTCAACCCAGCCTACGCCAACCCTTGCAAACCCCTGAAGGCCAACTTGCCGCAACCCCAACCATCGGCATCGCGCGCCGCCCGCGCCCTCCCCCATCCCCCCCCCCCTCACCCCCCCCGCAGACCCCCCCCCCCCCCCCCCCCCCCCTCCCCCTCCGCATGCCCGCGCATGCAACCGATCCAGCCCGTCCAGCTTTTTTAAGTTTTTTTTTTTTTTTTTTTTTCACCTAATCCGCCTCAGGGTACGCCTCGCCGCGCCAACTGGCCCCTACCGCCCGCAAAGCTCCAAAACCCCAATCTACATCGGCGTTTGCACGCCTTGAAGCCCGGTACCTACTCCCTCCGAGCAGCCGAGCGCCCCGCCGACCATCGGCCCGCGCAGG